AAACCATTCTGTGATTCTATGGAGCAGGGGTCTTGCCTGTTGGGGTGCAGCCCTGTGGTACACCACCCTGAAGAGCAGAGCAGCTGGTGACAGCTGTCGGGGTCAGTTCACAGCCCGGCAGCCACTGACAGGTCACCAGGAAGGAGGTGGAGGCTGAGGACGCCGCGTCAGCAGTTCGGGTCAGGGTCGGCACTGGTGTGCAGCAGTGGGCTCGGGCAGGCACCAAGGGGAACAGCTGAGATGGAACACAGCTCAGGGGGACACCTTCCAAGGCTTCCCACGCCACTTTCCCACGCGGCTGTTCTCCCGGCAGCCCAAGCCAAGGCCGTGCAGCTGTGCCGCACCAGAGCTGGCCTTGAGCGTGGGCGGCTGAGCTGCTGTGCCGAGGGGGAGGTGGCACTTGGCCCTGACGCACAGCGGGCAGTGGCCGTGCTGCTGGGGAGGCTCTTCTGATTAACTTGGAGAAAACGGGATGTGTTTGCCAGGTGACTCCGTTGGTGTTCTTGAGGATCCTTGTCCACTTCGGGGCATCACCTGGGCTGTAGCAGGGAGGTTTTGTTACAGATGCGGGTATTGCCGTAATTCTTCCTTTGTTTTCCTTTTCCCATGTGTGAGAAAAGGGAGCGTGTGTATATGTTCAAACAAAATCATTCTGATTTTATGAGCTGATAACTTATTTCTGTTGTTAATACCTGCCACCAGAGTTGAAGAGAATTGATCACAGGCAGAGCACTTGGCTTCTCCCCGTTACTAAAAGGAGTAAGTTAGAGTTACACTTAGCTTTGGGGCTTAACAGAACAGGTAGCTTCAAAGTGCTTGCTTAGCATCCGTGGTATATACGCATCGCCGTAGCCTAACACCTTTGTTTTTCTCTTTCAGAAATACCCTGTATTGCCATATCTAGTTTTAGTATTGAAACAGTTCCTGTTGCAGAGGGACCTTAATGAAGTATTTACAGGTGGAATTGGTTCTTACAGTCTTTTTTTAATGGCTGTCAGTTTCCTTCAGGTAAGCGTAATGAAACCCGTTGATGCCATGGGGGCCAAAGGACGTTACGTTATGGAGGAGTTTAAGCAATCCCTGCATTTAATTATTTGACCTGTCCCTATTTGTGGTTTTGCACCCCCTTTTCATTAAAAATATACGCAGCCCACCTGTCTTCTGTTCTTTCTCCCATACTTTTGGTATTAGAGACGTTTGGAATGTCTGTTAGTCTGTCAATACCATGGACTTTTCCTTGGTTTGTCTAGGTTTTTAAGCTGATACCAAATAAACATATTTTACAACTTAAATATAAGAGAACAAAATGCATGAGGCTAAATCGAAATTCTTGTGCCTGGGGGAGAAAAATACTGTAGAAATAAGAAGTAGCAGCGTTCTGGCTTGATCAACCGTGTTCTTGTAGTAAACGGCGTTGTGTAACGGTGTACGTCTGCACTTTTCCAGCTCGTAGTTGGTTTCAAACCCGAGCCTTGAACTGGAGCGCGGTGTTTGCTGAGTGCTATGGCAGTTGCCTGCTGAGCACAAAAGAAAGGCAACAGGCATATCTTTTTGAAAGAAACCAAAATCCCGCCCAACCCCAGGTTTTTCTTACACTGACTAATGGCTTTTCCATCAGCTCCTGCAAAAGAAGTCAGGCTCTGTATCTGTTACAAGTTTGGGCTGGTTTTGTTCGTAATCTCTTGGGCGTCGCACTTAACAGGAGAGGGGATGGTTGGTGTAGCTGTGCGTGTCAGAAGCCTGTATTTGCATTGCAAACCCGGGTTTGTGAAGTGCAGGTATCTTTTGTTTTTTTTACAAGAACCCTGCTGTTAGTGCTGGAAGTTCACTTCCTGGACTGAAAGTTCAGATACAGAAGCTTTAATACTCCACAGCCTTATTTTTACGAGCTAATTTATAAAAAAATTGTTACCATCTTGTTTTAAAGGTGCAGAACAGCTTTATCAAGGGAAAATGCTCTATTTAGATACATTTGCTTTATATACTATGTTTTTTTATTATTGTATGTAGACGTTTGCTGTGAAAAAGAAAAGGCACTTGCAGGCATTTGAAACTTGACGTCTTAAGAAAATGATTTTTCTTCTCTCTTCTTAATAGCTGCATCCCAGGGAAGATGCCTGTATGCCCAATGCCAACTATGGTGTTCTTTTAATAGAGTTTTTTGAATTATATGGACGTCACTTCAATTATCTGAAGACTGGAATCCGAATAAAGGATGGTGGCTCGTATGTTGCCAAGGATGAAGTGCAAAAAAGCATGCTGGATGGCTACAGACCATCAATGCTGTACATCGAAGATCCGTTACAGCCAGGTACCCTCTAAACCACGATTGAACATACTGAGAAAAGAAGTTAGGGGAATGCTTAATCCAGAGGTGTTAAAGAATAGGGTAGAATGACCGCCCAAGCCCCCACGGAAATGCCTCGTTCGTGTCTCTGAACACCAGGTGCTCTCAGAACACACCGATTTCCACTAGGATGTGGTCCTGGCAAAAGTTAGGGTGTCACCCAGGAGCATGCCTGTACCGCAGCCACGCCGGCACGCTGCGCCACGGCCTTGTGCCCTGCTGACAGCAGTCGCGGGCCTCAGAGCGGCGAGGTGTACCTGTGTGTGGGCCCGGAGTTGCAGCTGGCACTTGCCTATGTTGCAGTTCACAGTGTTCGTGTGCTCCTAGCGCTCCCCTCCTCGGTTCTGTGAAGTCACGTGGAGACGTGGTGGTTTCGTTCTCTGCTGTTACTCAGCACCAAGGCTGGTGGCCTCGGTGGGTGGCTTCCGAAATGGCGAGTCAAGTGCTGCTCACAGAAAAGAGAGAACGTGTTTCTGATTTAAAACACGTCACCCAGGACTGATGACTAGAATAGTCCCGTGCCACGTATGTTGCAGCTAGAACAGTACAGGATTATTTTAGTTTTTTTCCCTTCCTGTGTTGCACTGTCACCCAGAGAACTGCCGCTCTGGACTCCTGTGCATGTGACTATCTATAGGCCTTTTAAGCTCTTTCAAATGTTTGTGCTTCACTCATCCTGTTCCACAAAGAGGTAACTGCAGTGAGGTGGGACTTAGGGGCGATTGTTAAGAAATATGACTGTCTCCTGTTGGAAGGGAGACACCCACGGTTTCAGTCTCATTTATTTAATTATATTCTTATTTTAAGGTAATGATGTCGGGAGGAGTTCATATGGTGCCATGCAAGTGAAACAGGCTTTTGATTATGCCTATGTTGTTTTGAGCCATGCGGTTTCCCCAATAGCTAAATATTATCCTAACAACGAAACAGAAAGGTAAATTTTATGAGTAAATCTCAGTTGTTAATTGCTTATATTTGTGTGTGTCTAAATGCTAATTGTGGTGATGGTTTTGTTGTTTTCCTGTTTCACAGTATATTAGGTAGAATAATTAGAGTAACGCAGGAAGTGGCCACGTACAGAGACTGGATATCAAAGCAGTGGGGGATGCAGAGCAGGACGGAGTCTTCGTGTAACGGTGAGTTTTGGCTGAGCGTGGCTGATAGTGGGAAACTTCCTGCGTGTTCGGAGCGCGTAGATTTTGGCGTCGCTGTTGTCCCTCGTAAGGCGACGTGTATACATCGTAGTACCAATTTACGTTTTGCTCAGTGGGAGAGACTTTTTTTCTGTTCTCATCCAGAAGGTTTAAATTTGTCCAAGGGGGAAGAGGCCCCATGGCATCTTCATTCTGCTGCGATGATTTGGTCAGCTAGAGGTCTGCAGAGAGTGCTGGCTTGCAAACGGAGACACATGGAAAACTTCCTGTTTAAATTAACTGTCACTCCCTCTGTTCTTTAAACGTGGACAGGGTGTTATTTTTCATTTGAAAGATTCACATACCGCCTGTGTATGGAACAATACTCAAGCCAGCATTGACCATATAAGCAGAATGTGGGTTTTTTTAACCAGAAAGATCCTGAAATGTCATTAACAATTCTTCTTACTGACAAATGGGAACACATAAAGTCTAGCCAGAGAACCTGCTGACAACATCCTTTAAAAGATCTTTATTTTCTTATCTTTAACTTCATTAAAGTTAATCTTAATAATCTCCAATTAACTTTAGGATGTTGCCCACTAAAGCCTTCTCTAGCAAGGCATTGATCGGAGAAGGTGGCACAACCGCCCAGTCTTGAGGCTAGGCTGGGGTTTTGTTTATTGGTTGTTCAGGTTTCCCTCGCTGTGTGCTGCTGGGTCGTGTGTGCGTTGCCTGTCTCTAGACCCCTGTGGCACTGCCATCCCCCTGGTAGCGGCAGACAACCACGGCTCAGTCCCCCAAGCTCCTCGTAGAGCCCTTGTAGGTTTGGTTCAGATTTACCTGTATTTGTAATGAAGGTGGCAGCTGGTGAGCTGTGAGAGCTTGTATTTTTGGCGTAGGATATTGTACAGCACAACCAGACTTACGTGGGGTTCTTAGGACCCTCGCAGCCCCAGCAGAAGAAACATGGGAGTTGCTGAGCATCGGGCATACAGGAACAGAATTAAACCTACATATTTGAGTGCTGTTGAGTGTTTCATAAAACAGCCGTATCAAGCAGCACATCTGAACTTTGTTACTGCCTTCTCTCTGCCTTATCTCTCTAATTTCCATCTTGAACCATGGGTGGTTTTCACAGTCCACAGTAGTGGATGTTGTCAGGAAGCCACCGCACCCTGTGCGAGGTGTTGGCTTGCCACCACGTGCCGTCCTCGCACACATGCGTGTGTCTGCATGTGTTGAGAGCCGGTACGTGTGCAGGTGCCTGTACGTGTCCTGCTGGATGCAGCAGAGATGCAGTACCTGAGCAGGTGTGTTAAAAAAAAAAAAGGCAGTGTATTTTAGCAGTGAATGTGGGCTGACGCTTCTGTTCTGTGTTTAACAGGTAACGGAGTAACCTTGATAGTAGATACGCAGCAGCTAGACAAATGCAACAATAATCTTGCTGAAGAGAATGAAGCACTGGGAAAACCTAGAAATAAAACTTCAGAAACACTTAGTAAACATTCTTCAAATTCTTCGTCAGGTCCTTTATCATCATCATCCTCTACACTGTCCAGCTCTAGTGATGTAGTAAGTACGGGAGGTTTTCTCAGTTTGGTTTTTTTGATTTCTTTGGGGGTTTTTTTTCCTGATTTGTATTGCCACAGAATACATTTTGAAAGCTCAGAATCCTGGTTCGTTATTTCATCCAGAATCTGAACTTGCATAAGGTGTTACCTCATGCAATTTCTACACATGTAAGTTGCAGCCTGGCCTTGGCACAGCATGTGGAGGCAGTGAATACAGTAGGACAAAGTTATGTAGCCCGCTTTTCTCTGGGAAAACTGTATTTAAAAAAAAAAAAAAAAACAAACAAAAAAAAAAAACACCAAACCCAAAAAACAAAGTGTGTGTTTAAAACCCCTGCTGGAAAAAAAAAAAAGGGGGGAAAAAAAAAAAAGTTTTAAAAAAAAAAAAAATCATCAGTTTGGGAATTCTGTCTAAAAGATGAAAGGCAAACCCCCAGATCAGAATTGTGCATCAGTACACTTAAATCTGTCTGTTTTACTCCGTAAGAATTCTGGATTGAAAGAATGTTAATATCTAATAAAATAAACACATTTTAAGTTTTGTCCACTGCTGGCTTTATTTTTAAGTGAAAACTCACTTGTAGAAAAGCTCACTTACTCTTAAGAAAAACTCACTAATACTTTAAATTTTCCTGAAGGATTCTGATGGAACACCTTGCAAAACCTCTAAACAACTGAGTTGTCGTCAGTCTACCACGAACAGAGTGGGGTCACAAGAAGCGTCACTGGAATCCTCCCAGTCAAGTGGGAAAACACAAAGTAGCCAAACAGCCAATACATCCAGCAACACGAACAAATCGCAGGTTTGTGGAACGTTTGAAAACAACTGTCTAGAGTACTGGGAAATTACGCGTCCTCCACGGAAGGGTAGCTTGTTCTGGAAAGGATCACCTCCCCTTTAACCCACTAAAAAGCTTTGAGCAGTGACTGTGTCTAAGATCAGCTGGTTCTGTTCAGCTTACACAGATGAGCTGGCGACAGTGGCTTTCCCAGCCTTAAACCAGGTGAAACGGGATTGGCTTTGTTTCGGGAAGTCTAGATGTGCCGGTATACAGCTGCGTTGTGCCCGTTTCCTTTGAGGAAAAAGCATGCTGGTCCAGTCTGTGCTGCAGAATTTGAGGATTCATTGGACTTGCCTACTTGGTCGAAAGCAGCAAAAATATGTGTTTAATAAGAACTGTGACTGGCTGCTCTGTTAACTGTTGGTACTTGTTGAACGTAAGGGAGATGAAGGTTTCTCGCTGATGCATGAGATTCCCTCTCGTTTTCCCCTAAAGACAAATACCTTCATGATGAGACCTACCGGAGCTTGTGCACTGAGGGGATGTCTCCTGCTGAGCAGACTTTGGATATATGCAGTTTAAATTTGAATACTTTTTTAGAATTTAGGACTTTATTAGTGTATGAAAACCCATCTGGAATCTTCTGGAACACTGTTCCTGAAAAGTAACTTGTCTCCTGCTTGCAGGCAGTCTCTAGCTAGCAACCTGGCAGTGTACAAACCAGGCGGCGGATATACGCTGGACGTGTGTTTGTGTTACTGCACGGGAGCTAATTCTGCTGCTGGAATGGGAATAAGCACGCTCCGAGATGCCCCCCATCTGTAAAAACATGTGGCATAAAATTAGTCCTGGCCTCACAAGAATGTTGTCTTGATTGTGCGCAGCAGATGAGGTTTGAGCAGTCCACCGACTCGGAGCGTGGACTTACGGCTCTGAAAAACCCTTTTTTGCCAGCTGTGGAATAGGAGGCAGGTTCTATCCTATTCAAAATCCCAAGTGGGTGGCTCTTCCCTCTTAGCCTGCGTGGCTTTGGGCCTAGAGACGCCCGTTTGTTCACAAGCACCAAAGGGAAAGGTTCGTGGTACGGCGCTGCCGAAGCTGCGGCCTAGCTGCGCCTGCCATGCCAGTTTTTCCAGGGGCAGCGCTGTGGCGAGGTAACGCCCTCCTTGTCCGGAAGCGGGGCTGTGCTACTGCCACGCTTTTTCCTTACAGCACCCACTGACCGTGTTCTCCTCCTTTTACAGCACGGATCTGCACGGCTGTTTCGCTCTTCTAACAAAGGCTTCCAAGGTCCAACAAACTCCAGCCACGGTACCTCAGTCACAAACAAACAGCATCAAGGCAGCAAATCCCACCACCAGTTTTTCCACGGCAAAAAGAGGAAACACAAGAGGGATGCGGCCCTCTCAGACCTTTGTAGATAGTTGCCTATCTTATGACTGTTCTTCTGTGTGCAATGATCTCATGCGACAGGATGGTTTGATAGTGACTCCTTGGATCTCTTCCGGAGCGTCAGACTGTTCAGACATTGATTAGCAACTGCATTTTTTTTTCCCAGCTCGCCACGGAACGGATCATGAAGATTGATCACTGCAAAAAAAAAAAAA